TCTCTATTCTCGAGCTTCTGGACCCTTTTGGGTGAATTGGTAGAGTAAGCTGTGAGCTATAGAGCTCTTTTTATGAACTGAAGTGTTCATCGTGAGTTATATAGCTCTTTTTATGAATTGAAGTGTTCATCGTGAGCTATTGAACTCTTTTTATAAACTGAAGTATTCATCGTGAGCTATAGAGCTCTTTTTATGAATTAAAGTGTTCATCGTGAGCTATAGAACTCTTTTTATGAACTGAAGAGTTCATCATGAGCTATAGAGCTCTTTTTATGTGATGTAACCAAGATGAATTAAAAACATGCAGTTTTATTGAGAATGATCAAATTACAAAATTGACTCACTGAAAGAATTTTTGGAGATATTCTACGTTCCAAGAGTGGACAAGATTTTTCCTTCCTCTGTCTACAGCTCATAGTTTTCGGCCTTGATAACCCTTGATATGATATAATGACCTTCCTAGTTTGGGCCTAGTTTTCCATGGGAAGGGCCCTTCCTCGCAAACAATAGCTTTCTAAGCACTAGATCCCCTACCTTGTAACTCTTGTGCTTTACTTTCTTGTTGTAGTACCTGACTGTCTTCCTCTGATAATATTTTATGCGCTGTAAAATCTCGTCTCTCTTCTCATCTAATAGATCGAGGTTGAGGAGTAACGCCTCATCATTATGCCTTGCGTCGCTAAACTCAATTCTGGGGGATGGGAGCCCTATCTCCACGGGAGCCACTGTTTTAGTTCCAAAAGCCAAAGCAAACAGAGTTTCCCGAGTGGCGGTCCTGGCTGTGGTTTTATAAGCCCATAACACCTCAGAGAGCTGCTCTACCCATTTTCCTTTCAGTTCTTCCAGTTTAGTTTTCAGGGCGGTCTTTATTGTTCGAATGGTGACCTCTGTCTGCCCGTTGGATTGGGGATGAGCTGGGGTCGAAAAGAAATTTTTTATCTCCAGCTCAGCACAAAACTTCTTGAACTTAGAATTATCAAACTGCTTTTCATTATCTGAAACAACTACCATTAGAATCCCAAATCTGCAGATTATCGACTTCCAGACAAAGTTTTGGACTTTTTGTTCTGTGATTGTTGTCAAAGGCTCTATCTCTGCCCATTTGGTGAAGTAGTCCACCCCAATAATGGCGAACTTGCATTGTCCAAACCCCGTAGGGAGGGGGCCAAGTATATCTAACCCCATTATTGAAAAGGCTAGGGGCTCACCACCGATGTTAGGAGTTCTAGTGGGCAGTGGGGAATATTGGCGTGTACTTGGCAAGCTTTACATCCCTTTACCAGATCTGCAGGATCTTTGAGTATAGTGGGCCAGTAGTACCCCTGCCTCAATGTTTTTCCTGTTAGGGCCCGAGCTCCGATGTGATTGTCGCAGACTCCTTCATGGATCTCTCTGAGTATGTAATTAGCATCTTCATCTCTCACACATTTGAGTAGAGGTGTCGAAAATCCCTGTTTGTATAGGTTTTCCTGCAAAATATAAAATATGGCTGACCTGACCCTTACTTTCGCAGCTTATTTGGGATCTTCCGACAAAGTCTCATTTTAAAGATACCCTCTGATGGGGTCCATCCAACTCGGTGGTGCTTACACAGGCAGAACTTCTTCATCTTCAATGCATACAGATGGTTCTGCTAAATGCTCCACTCGAATTAACCTATCCAAATTCTCTTGTGAAGCTGTTGCCAACCTTGCCAAGGCATCTACTCTAGAATTTTTGGCTCTAAGAACGTGCTTAAACTTAACTTGCACAAACTTCTTGATTAATTCTTGTACCTTTCTGAGGTAGAGAACCATTTTCTCACCATTAGCCTCGTATGACTCCTCTATCTGTTTCATGACAAGCTGAGAATTGCTGCTGATCTCCAGCTGCTTTGCCTCCATTGAATGAGTAAGGTTGAGCCCAGCAATGACAGCTTCGTATTCTACCTCGTTGTTTGAAGCCTTAAATCCAAACCTGAGGATGTATTCTATGTCTATTCCATTTGGAGAGGTCAGGATCAATCCTACGCCGCTTCCTTAGGCATTGGCAGCTTTGTCTATCGAAAGTTTCCATACGGGAAGGTCAGGTATTAGCAGTGCGGCTTCCGCGGGTGTTACTGTGGTGAATTCTGTGATGAAATCTGCCAAAATTTACCCTTTGATTGTAGTTCTTGGCTTATACCTAATATCAAATTCGCTGATCTATTGGAACCTCGATAGTATGAGCCTGAAAATATGGTATAAGTCTCCTAACCGTGGTCACCAGGGCCAAAACTAGCTTTTCTATATTTGGATATCTCTCCTCTGCCCCCTCAGAGCTCTGTTACAGTAGTAAACTGGTTGCTGAGCTCTGTCTCTCTCCCTAACTAGTGTTGTGCTGGTTGAAAAATCTGAGACAACTAAATAAAGAGTAAACACTTCCCCTTCTAAGGGGCTTACCAGGACAGGAGGAGAGCTTAGGTACTCCCTCAGTGCTTTGAACGCTTCCTCACACTGGGTGTCCCATTGAAATGCCTTCTTCAAGATCTGAAAGAAAGGTTGGCACTTGTCACTTGATTTGGATACAAAACAACTCAAGGCGGCTATCCTTCCTGTCAGGCGTTGGATCTCCCTAATGTTGGACAGTGGTCGCATATCCAGAATTGCCTTAACCTTTTCTGGGTTAGCCTTGATTCCTCTACTGTTGACTATGAATCCCAGAAACTTCCCTGCTGATACTCCAAAGGTGTACTTTGCAGGGTTGAGTTTCATCTTGTACTCCCTGAGGATTTGGAACGATTCTGCTAGGTGCTCGATGTGTAACTCTGCCTTCAGTGATTTTACCAACATGTCATCGATATAGACCTCCATGGATGTCCCAATTTGCTTCTGGAACATTCTATTCACTAGGTGCTGATAGGTGGCTCCAGCATTCTTCAATCCAAAAGGTCTGACCTGGTAGCAGTAAGTTCCCTGTTCAGTTACAAATGATGTCTTCTCCTGATCTGCTGGGTCTATCCTGATCTGATTATTACCTGAGAAAGCATCCATGAAGTTGAGGAGCTCATGCCCAGCAGTGGCATCCATGATCAAGTTTATTCGAGGTAAGGGAAAGTTGTCCTTGTGGCATGCTCGATTGAGATCGGTGAAATCAATGCAAAGCTGTCATTTCCCATTGGTCTTCTTAACCGGCACCACATTCACCAACCAGGTAGGATAGTCTGCCTTTCTGATGGCTTTGGCGTGGAAGAGTTTACTGACCTCCTCGTTAATTGCCTTCTGGTGTTCTGGAGCAAACCTTCTCCGCTTCTGTTTAACAGATTTGTAAATGGGATTCACGCTAAGCTTGTGTGGGATGACTAAGGGGTCAATGCCTTCCATGTCCTCTTGCTTCCAAGCGAACACCCTCATGTTCTTCCTCAAGAACTGGGTGAGTAGGTCTTTCATTTCTCTGCTTAACTTAGATCCCATGTAAATAATATGTTCAGACTTTTCATCGAGCTGGACTCGCTCTAGCTCTTCTAACTGCATGGGCCTAGTGTCTAGCTCGTTCCTCATGTCAAGCTCATCTAGCTGGATATTTTCAACCTCTTTCTACTTCACCAAGGCTATGTAGCACTCCCTAGCTATTCGCTGGTCTCCTCGGACCATTTCAACTTCATTTTCTGTAGAAAATTTTTACGACCAAGTGATATGCTGAGGGGATAGCCTTCATTGCGTTGAGGGATAGTCTCCCAAGTAGCATATTATATGCAGAAAAGGTGTCAACCACCAAGAATTTCACAGTGGTGGTGGCTTGGCAATGAGGGTCCCCCATAGTGAGCACGAGTTGGATGGATCCCAGGGGTAGCACCCTTTCCCCTGAGAATCTCATTAAGTGAGCACTTACTGGCTCAAGCTTCTGTCTTCCTGTGCTCATTTTGTCAAAGGCAGAGACAAAAATGATGTCGGTTGAGCTCCCATTGTCAATTAGAACTCGATGAACCATTTGGTTAGTCATAATAGCCCTTACCACCAACGGGTCATCATGGGGATGCTGGCAGCCTTCCAAGTCTGAATCCAAAAAAGTGATGGTTGTGCTCAGCCGAGGTATTTTGGACACGGTGTGCACTTTGAGCGCTTCGCCAGCTTTGATCCTGCGCATGTGTGCTTTCCTGGCTACACTGGATTCTCCACCGCCAGCAAATCCTCTAGATATCACTCTGATCTCCCCTAAGGGTTGCTGGTGCTGTGCAGGAGCTTGTTGTTGAGGTGCCGGTGGTGGTGGAGCCCTATTCTGGTTGTCATGGACAACAAATCGTCGTAACTGCCCCCTCTGAATCAAGAAACCGATCTCTTTCTTTAGCTAAATGCAATCGTCAGTGTGATGGCCATGAACCCTATGATACTCGCAATACTTTGTAGGGTCTCTTTTAGCTGGATCTACCTTTATTCGTGGAGGCCACCTTAGGAATTTCTCGTTTTGCACCTCGTATAGGATATGGGACACTGTTGCAGTGAGAGGGGTATATTGCTGAGGTGCATAACTTGGCTGTAGTTCTGACTGCGAGGGTCCTAAGAGGTCTCTAACGTTCTCCCTTCTTTTTGGGGATCGCTCTTTATCTCTTTTGGGAGATCTATCTCTCTTTGGAGATTTGTTTCTTTTCCTCTCTTTCCTGGGACTTCAGTTCCTCTTTTTCTCTTCCTTTCCCTTATCTCTATGTGTGGAAGAACTCCCTACCTTAGAAAGAAGAGCTTCTTCGCCGTTTATATATTTCTCTACTTTGGCAAGCACCTCAACCATGCTTGCTTGGAGATTTTTTGATATGGAGAACATCAAATTTTTAGATTGCACCCCTAAACCAGCTATGAAGGAAGTGATGGCGAACTTTTCGACTGGGACATCCACCTTTAACGACTCTGAATTAAATCTTTGGACATAAGACCTGAGATTTTCTTGAGGTCCCTGTTCCACATTCAAAAGGTGATACAGCATTCAAATTATACAACTCATTAGTTCCCAGCATAGTCTCAAATCTAATACAACATTTTCTCTTGTAGGGAACGGTTGTTCTTATATTTCAACCAGCTGAGGAACAAGGTGAAGGTGCAAAAGACATGATCCACCAAGGGGTGCTCGAAAATGTAGAGGCCATATTTTATTTGCACATAGTGCACAGATATCCTATTGGTACTGTGGCTGCTCGGCCAGGAGAGTTTCTAGCCGGGTGTGGGAGCTTCAAAGCAACAATCAAAAGGAAAGGGGGTCAGGCAATGATGCCACAACAGTCCATTAATCCCATACTAGCACTTTCTAGTTCTCACTTGGAATAAACGTAAGTGAAAAGGGATACTCAAATTAAGAGTAGAGCCCCGTATATATATCCAAAAATAATACAGAGTGACTTAAACATCCTTGTATTTTAGGCAAAATATAAAAATCATAGTAAGGGTAAAAAAGGGAAAAGAAATCCTAATAAACTAGATTATCTATACTCCAACACTCCCCCTCAAGCTAGGCGCAAATATGTCAACTAAGCCAAGCTTGACAACGGAGTCCCGAAGAATAGACAGAGTGACAGGTTTGGTAAAAATATCCGCAACTTGATCACTGGTCCCCACAAACGATGGAGTAACAAGACCACTGCTGACCTTCTCCCGAAGAAAGTGAACATCGATCTCTATATGCTTCGTTCTCTCATGTAGTACAGAGTCAGAAGCGAGCTGAATAGCAGATTGATTATCACAATATAATGTGGATGGAGAGGGCACTGAAAAACCCAACTCGTCAAGAATCGATCGTAGCCAGATAATCTCACACGTGCCAAGTGCCAATGCCCGATACTCTGCCTCTGCGGACGAGCGGGAGACAACTGCCTGCTTCTTGCTCTTCCAAGAGATAAGATGAGTCCCTCGAAAAGCACAGAAACCCGTAGTAGATCGACCATCACATGCTCCCTCATAATCTGAATCTGAATAACAGGCTAGAGAACCGGTCTGAGATCCTGATGCATAAAACAACCCAAGTCCAGGACAAGACTTGAGGTACCGAAGAATATGATAAACTGCATCAAGATGAGGCTGACATGGCCTATGCATGAACTGACTAACTCGGCTGACTGCGAATGAAATGTCCGGCCTAGTATTGGCTAAGTAGATAAGTCTACCTACCAATCTTTGATAAACTGTCGGATCTTTCAACTCCTCACCTTCAGCAGTAAGCTTCAGGTTTGGAATCATGGGTGATGATGCCGGTTTGCACCCCAACATCCCAGTGTCTGAAAGAAGATCCAAAACATACTTTCTCTGAGAAAGAACAATACCTCTGCTTCTACGGGCAACCTCAATCCCAAGAAAGTATCGCAGAAATCCAAGATCCTTCACATCGAAGGCCTTCCCAAGGTCTATCTTGACCTGCGCAGTCCCAGAAACATCATCACCAGTAATAATAATATCATCAACATATACCAGAAGGATGACACACTGTCCAGAAGTATTCCGTCGAATAAAGCAGGTATGATCAGAATGACACCTGGTGAACCCCAATCGTACAACTACATCACTGAAGCGAGAGAACCAGGCTCGTGGCGACTGTTTCAGTCCATAAAGAGACTTACGCAGTCGACATACCTTTCCAGCATACTCCCCCTCACCACGAAAGCCCGGTGGTGCATCCATATAAATAATCTCGTCCAGATCACCGTGAAGAAACGCATTCTTCACATCTAATTGATGAAGAGGCCAAGAGTACTCCGCAGCCAGAGAAATAATCAACCGAACAGTAGTCAATTTTGCCACGGGGGCAAATGTAGCACCAAAATCACGACCTGGTACCTGAGTAAAGCCCTTCGCCACAAGTCTAGCCTTGTAACGATCAATAGTACCATCCGCAAGAAACTTCAGGGTGTAAACCCAGCGACAGCCAACAGGCTTCACCCCTGAAGGTAAGGAGACAAGATCCCATGTATGATTACGCTGAAGAGCGTCCATCTCTGTCTGCATGGCAAGAACCCACTGGGGCTCCCGCATAGCTTCCGAAATAGAGCGAGGAACCAGCGTATCTGATAAGGCCATAGTATAAGCTCGAAATGTGGGAGACAGATCACCATAAGAAACATAAGCAGAGATCGGATATAAAATCTTGGCGGTCCAACCATATCGATCAACTGGACGCGATCACGCCTTGGATAACGACGCCCTAAATCACCATCCTCTACTGATAATGTCTTATCAGGTAAAGTAACTGGCTCAGCACCTGCAATCTCATCAGTACTAACAACAGGTGCATCAATATGCTCAACAAACTGAGAAGTATTACCTGCATCGCCTGAGGTAGAGGGGATATCAGCAGGGTGATGAGAGCGAGGACAACGAACATACACCTGCAAAGGAAGAGAGACTGGTAACTCTGTACTGACAGGGATGAGTGACTCCTTTGGAGGAAAAACGGATGACCCTGTAGGGATAGTGATCAATGACTCTGACTCTTGTGGTAATGGAAAATCAAAGGGAGTATCATCAACTGGAGGGGCAGACAAAGGACTGAAAGGAAAATAAGGAATATGCTCAAGAAAGGTAACATCTAGACTGTGATACATACGACGCCTAATAGGATCATAACATCGATACCCCTTAGATTGATGACAATAGCCCACAAAGATACAACGAATCGCTTTATCATCAAGTTTATGACGAGTAGGAGACCGATCCTGAACAAAACATGTGCATCCAAAAACACGAGGGGGGACCGAAAAAAGTGTCCGCTCAGGAAATAAGACCTGTAAGGGAGCCTTATGCTGAAGAACACGACTCGGCGTACGATTGCACAGAAAGGTAGAAGTCAGAACAGCAAAATGCCAATAAGATTTTGGTACCCTCATGCCTCTAAGCAGACAACGTACCATCCCTATCAAACTCCTATTTTTCCTTTCAGCAACACCATTTTGCTCAGGAGTATATGGACAAGTGAGTTGCTGAATAATACCCTGAGAAGAAAGGTGAGACACTAAAGCATCAGACACATATTCTTTGGCATTATCCGAACGAAGAGCACGAACAATGACATCGAATTGTGTCTTAATCATCTGTAAAAACTGAGTGATTATAGGGAGTACATCAGACTTCCTATGCAAAAGGTAGACCCAAGTACAACGGGTATGATCATCTATAAATGTCACATAATATCTGGCACCTGACAGAGCAGTAACGGGAGAGGGTCCCCAAATATCAGAGTGTATTAGGTCAAATGGCTTGGGTGACTGGTGCATGCGAGGAATATAATTGGCCCTAACATGTTTTGATAGGGAACAGATAACGCAATCAAGTTTACCACCAACACAAGCATTACTCAAAGCAAGAAACAACATACATAAATATTTAAAATTTGTATGTCCAAAACGGTCATGCCACAATTGAACAGTTTGTGACGAAAAATCATAACGACAACTACTAGGTAAAATACTAGCATGCAAGCTAGAAACAAAAAAAGACAAAGCAGGTGCAGGTGAAGGAATTGGTGAAACTGGAGATGGATTGCCAAGATAATACAGTCCATCTTTCTCATGTCCCTTGATAATAATCCTCCTGGTACTCAGGTCCTGCAAATAACACGAATCAGATAAGAATACAACCGCACAGTGAAAATCTCTGGCTAACTGATGTACAGATAATAGATTCATGGCCAACTTTGGCGCATGAAAAATCGAATGTAATGTAAGGCCATCTGGGAGACGGACTGTACCCCTACTAACAATAGGGGCATGTGTTCCATCTGCTAACTGAACCTGTGTATGTAACGGCTCGTCAAAAGTGGTGAAGTGATGGGCCTCACCTGTCATGTGACCATTCGCACCCGAGTCCAACATCCAAAGGGGAGATGAACTGGCACAAGCGTGAAAGGCACGAGATATACTTGTAGTGGTGACAGCAGTAGTAGTCAGACTCTGAGAAGTCAGAGCAGACATAAGTATATCTAATCGGGAAGTGATAGCATCCATATCACTTTGCCAAGGAGGAGCAGCAGCAGGAGTGGCGGTAGTGGGCGGTGGTACCTCAGCAATAGCAACAGTACGGCTGCAAGAAGGTGGCTTAAGCTCTGGATGGAGCTTCCAGCAAGTAGCCCTGAGATGTCCTGGTCGGCCACAATAATCACATTGACGGGAATCCACCCGTATGCGCTGATCTGGGGCGCCCTGACGACGCTGGTCTGAGCGTTGCCCATCCCTGACTGAGGATCTTGAACGGGACTCTACAGCAGCTGCAAGGGCCATCTGGTCAATCGAAGGAGTCAAAGCTGCAACTGGAAGTGATGCAATACGGACTCGACGCTCATGCTGCTCAATCATCCCATACACCTCATAAAGAGAAGGAAGTGTCAACATCGACAAGATCTGAGAACGAGGTCCCTCAAACTCATCACGAAGCCCCATAAAGAACTTGTGAATCCTATCCTTCTGCTCTCGAGTATGCAAGAATGCTGCTCCCTCGGGCTCTATCTTCGGAATAGCAGCAAGAGGACGTAGAGTCTCATACTCAAGCCAGCGCTGGGTCAAATAGCCATAATAATCCTGAACGGTCATATCTCTCTGCCGAGCATATGAGAGCTCCTGAGAAAGCTCATAAACACGAACTCCCCGTCCTAACTGAGAATACATCTCTGATAATGCGCTCCATAGCTTCAGAACAGAGCTATGAAACTGGTGGATCCTGCAAACAGAGGGCTCCATTGAGCCAAATAACCATCCAAGAATTGCACAGTTTTCAGAGAACCACGCAGAATATCCAGGGTCGGCATCAGCTGGCTTTGGGTGAGATCCCGTCAGCCAACCAAGCTTCCCTACACGGCCTAAGAAAAGCTGGAATGAGCGTGACCACTCAGCGAAGTTACGACCATTCAACAATTGTGTCGTAACTTTTTGAGAGATCATGCCCGGTAGTGCTGGTAATGCAACTGTGCTAGTAGGCACTGTATACTGGTCAAACATAAAAGTGAAAGTACTCATAGATGTCTCAACGGTAGAGGTGTCAACAGTAGGGTTCTCAAGTCCCTCAGTAGTAGTCATATCAACAACAATACTAGGGCACCCGTGACAGAAAAATAACTCTAAGATAAATAGAGGAATAAAATAAGGGAGAACAATATACCTTCAGTCGAACAGTAGCGACAAATAAAGAAGGTCCAAAAAGCTCCCAAATAATCAAGTCACGGTGCCCAGAAATCCAATAAATA